TTTTTTGAAAAAGCGCCGACGACGGCGATCTGTGTGTGTCCACCCCTGGACAAAGGGTTTTCCACCGCCACTTCTTTCACAGATTTTCCACCACCTTTCGCATGCAGGGGGCAGTGACAGAGTTTGTGGAATCACTGCCAACGAAGACGTCCACATTCTCTGGTGATGCATCGGGAGACGTCCTGATGTGTACCTGCTGAACTTTTGACCACGTTGTCTAATTTGCTTGGTTTGCTTCCATGGTCCTTCAAGCTACTCCCCACAAACAGGTTTCCCACAGCCACCTTTCAGCTGCCGTCCGCCGCTCGTCCGCTGCTGTCGCGAGTCTGCAGATGTGCACAAACTATTTGTTGAAACACCTTCAATTGATCGGACTCATCACCTTGCCGTTGAGTCATTCCTTTCCTTGGGGAACTGAGTTAACTGAATACAATTGTCAGAGTGTGTGTGTCAATTTAACCCTTGCGACCCGACTAAACCCCCCAAAGTGAAAGACTAAACACCAACCTGAAACTCTCTGGAGGATCTCAGTCAAAAATAATATATCTTTTGAAACTAAAGAAGATTGGCCAACAAAAACACTCAGTACTCATGAAATGACTCATGAAACACAACAAGGCACGGAGGTCCTGCATGATCTGCAACAGGTCAGGGGGAATGTCTTTGAGACCGGCCCTCAGTGTAAAAAGGTGTGATGAGTGAGAACAACAAAAAGAGACAACACAAACTAATAACAACAACCGAACAACTCAGTTGTCTGAGGGTTGCTTATGTTTTCTGATGCAAGTTAGCTGCTGGAGATTACCGTGTGGCTCACATTGAAGACTTAAGGCTTAAGTGGTGATCCTCCCAAGGTTGTTCGAGTCAACATAGGCTTGCGATTTCGCCACTCTAGCCGGTGTAGCTGGCACCCAAAAGAAATGATTGTCCTTATCAAGGTAGGCACTGGCATAGAAATGCGTTGAAATCACACTGTCGGGATCCAAAATGGGCTGACTCATGCTGATTCCCTATGACACGCTTCCTGTTTCAGGCCCCTAAGCGTGCCACTTGGCAAGGCCTTCCTTCAGTTCATTGACCGTGAGAAAGCCTTCGGGTTCGTCTGTGACAAACGGTAAGACTATGCAGCTCAGTACACATGGGATCATTTCAAACAACTCTTCCAACACGTTCTATAAACATCTGCCAAAGAAATGCAAACACTGCATGGCTCTCCCTTTAGAATTTAACGTTCAACATGGACAAGTGCGGCTTTGCGCACCATCTCCGTTGCCATCAATCATCATAAAGACGTCTCGCAGCTGCTTGATCTGGTCCTGGCGCATGTCGTTTTAGGGCATGCTGCGGCATGCTCTTTGAAAGGGAACCATTTTGGAACCCCCAACAAGTTCAGCTCCCTTCGACTTCTTCACACTTGATCATCGGTGTCATCGCAGGTTTTCTCGCCCAGATCCTAAATCAGTCAGGTGGGGTGAAGAAACCAGGGATGTAGCCTCAGTAGCAGGAAACGGTCCGCTTTATCGGGCGTCGAAAAGTATCTGAAAAGAGAAGACTTCACAAGTAGACTTCACAAGTTTACATGAGAACCAAGCTTTGGCATGTGCCCAGCCAATCACAACTGACCATCAATAGGCTGGCCCAGCTGAGGAATGCAAAGCAAAAGAGCGCCCCAAACGGGAAGAATTTCCAAGAACTCACGTAGAAGTTGAATGTGCTTGTAAAATCAAGACAATCAAAGTGCGAATTTGCATCAAAGGCTGGTGATTGACTTTTCTCTCCTCTTCCTCCTTGTTTGACCTGTTCGCGTCTTTTTGGTCCTCGTTCAGCTGTCCAGCAATGATATGGAGCGCTGCCTGAAGGCAGTGGAGCCCGGTGCAGCGAAACCGGTTTCCCGTCCACGTCTTCTGGAAGAAGGATCACAAACACGAAAAACATACAGTACCAAGATCCCAAAGAACCTCCGATGTTGAGACACCTCTGATGATAAAACAGAATCTGTGATGTTTTATCAGACTAAAACTGAACCTTTGATGAGCTCCACGCTCTGAACTCGGGGCCTTTACTGGCCAGGTGAGAACTTGCCAACCCTGAAAAAGTCTGACTCTTCGAAGAACAACGAAAAAACACATAAAGAGATAAATCCCCTTATAGGCCCTGGCTTGGCACATCCAAAGGTGTGTATAAATAAACACAACTAAATAAATATAGATATTACTTATTATGTCATATGCCATAAACACATACACTAGTCACTAATTGCATGTACACACGACGCCAAAGCCTAGGGCCTAGGTCCTTCGTTGGATCCGTCTGATCCATACATCTGTCCATCAGTCTAGACTGAGACACCACGTTCGTACCTGTCTGGAGGAGAAAAAAAACCCACGTTCGCGCCTTCTTCAGCTTGTTCTGCGATCGGAAGTGGCGAAGGTTGTCCACGAAGTTCGATTGCAACGAGACATTGGTCGCCTTTGGTGCTTTCAGCTTGATCCTTGGTGTTTACCCAGTGACCCAACTGGATAAACCGGTCCTCCCAAAATATCCTCGAGCGACTCTATGTTTAAGTGATGAATCCGTCCGGATTGGCATGCTGTGCATCTTTTTGCTCCTGTTCATGCAATTGGACTTCGTTACAAACAAATCTCTCTTGAAGCTTAGCAGCCAATTATTTACTGCACTCTTTCTTGAGCTTTCAGGTGACTCAAGCAGGCTGTTTCACTAGAGTCCTAGCTGATCCATGGAGATCCTTGAACTGTGGGAGCGCTGAGAGCCAAACCACTCATGGTTCAAAGCTGCCTCTGCGCTGTACCTGGGCCAAGCATCTTCCGGATCCGACATGGAACACAGCGAAGCTTCCTTCGCTACAAAAAAAACTCGTTTCAAAAGGTGCTCATTCATTCAACAAGCGCTACAGTCACTCAACAAACGCCCATGGAGCCTCCCATATCCAACCCATGTTGAAGTGGTTTGTCACTTTTCAAACTGCACCCATTTTGCGGCAATTTGCGCGCATTTTGCGGCAATTTGTGCGCATGTTGCCGGTTTGCACGTTTTGCTCAAGATGACTTCAGTCGTCTTCAGCATCTAAAAAGGAGGCTTACAACCCTTCAAAACCCTATGAAGCATGCATTTGATCAAACAACGCTGATCAAACAACGCCACGAGAGTCCCAAAAGTGCTCAACCCCTAGGTTTGCTTTTAAAATACGTGCTGCAACTGAAGGTAACACGCATGAACCGCACAGCATATTGTAAACGCTTTTATTTTTCCGGGCCAAGAAAATCAACAAGCAAATCAATCAACATTAGGACCCTTTGAAGTCGTGACGAATCTTGTGTGAAATTATCATGCAGAAACATTTATACGGACGATCTCAAACGCCGTGGATCCAGCTATACTAAGGCGGGAGAGTGTCTTACGACAAAGCCTCTGGAAGAATGTGTGACCTAAAACATGGTTATATGGCTTTTTGTCTGACTGGGCAGTGCAAGGGTATATGCGCAGTTGCAGTACAAGTTCATACAAGTTCTAATTCTAATTGCAATCCTTGCAACTTTCAGGCAAACTGAAGCCCTTTCGTGATACAGTGTGATAACTGCCTTTGCTGAGACCAGTCCAACCCCCACCCTCTTCTTCGTCCACCCCTCGCTGAGACAAACACCGTTCTTTGGGATTCATCTTCAACAGCTGACGGATGAGGCTCTTGGCATCCTGGATGAGGCTCCCGTCGTGTTGACCAACCGCGACAGGAGGAAACCACCACCCAACAACGTGCCCCTGAACTAAAGAACCTGCGGTTGTCACACACCGTAAACGGTCTGCATTCCATGCATCGGTTACTCTTGTTCTCATCTTATCTCCTGCCATGCCTTGTGTCATCGATTATAGTGGGTCTCAACACTGCCTTCGGCCCTAAGATGCTTCTGGACTGGCCTCAAGAAGAAAGAACACCCAACGATGCTGAACCCCACGTGTTTGAAACGGAAAACATTGAAACCAAACACGTGCCAATTCTCACACGTTGCGTTGCACTACAGCGAGCAAAAATCCAGCTGCCCAATTCTTTGGGAGAGTGGCTGAGTAGGGTAACAGGCACCTGTAGGCCCCACACTGTTCAGCAGAACAGAAACACCTTGACGTTTCACGTTAGCAGCGGACCAGTCTTGCAAGGAACCTGAGCCTCCAGTCTTTGTCCAAGGCCACCGTTGGGCAAAAGCGGCGAAAGCCACGAATCGCTTGGCATCAGTACAAATGACCATGTCCAAATCCACACACCCGGGGGCCAAATCGCACTATATAGCACTCACTCCAAAAAGCACTCGGGCCAATAGCCCCGGTCCCCTGGTCCCCTCTCCTCCGAGACGTTCTTCCAGTCTGCCGGATTGAAGCTGTAGCTTCCGGTCTTCACCTCCACGGAGCGTTCGCGCTTTCGCCCGGGCGTGAGCGCGAGGGGACCTCCGGACCGGGACCGGGGGCCCTCGCGAGGAGTCTCGTGGAGTTCCGCACGTGGAAGAGGTGGGATGGTTGTGGATCCGATGAAGACATGGAAAGCCCTAGGACCATGGTGCCCAACGGTACCTCACTGTTTACCACATGTGTGTTGATAGGGGCGACCGATCTGGCGCGAAGCGAAGTCCAAAAGCGATGATCTTCCATGAGTCTTGAGTCACTGCCTTGGAGAGCACTTCGGCGTCTGACTCCCCAAAGAAGGGAGGATAGCCACAAAGGAGGACATACATGATCACCTTGGCATGGGCATTTTGCTGGCCCAAAAACACTGTGTGTGTGGGATGCTGTAGGCAAACGCATGGCAAACCATTGGGATTCAACTTACATGCCGCATGACATGGCCTTTGGGCAAGTCTGGAAACTGTGAAAACTATGAGTAGAATGGGTTTAATATACTATATGACGTTTAACAGTAGATGCTATCTAACAATATTATACGTTTCAAAACATAAATATATAACAATAGTATTAATAATATAAGAATAATAACGATAATAACACATAATAACATACAATAACAATCATAGCTATTCCCCCTGCATCCACAGCCATGAAACTTACACATTGCGTCACCTGTTGATCCCATTCCGAATTTCCCAGCTCGTTCCCTTCGTTTCCACGCTCGTTCTCAACGTTTCTGAGGGAACTTCTTGGGCACCGTTTCTCAACGTCTCTGAGGACGGCACACCGCAGCTCCAAAGATCTGCAGCCTCCACAGTGACGAGTAAAGTCGTCAGAAGGACTCAATGAGAAACACATCGGGGTCCTTTTTGCAGCCAACCACCCCTGCGAGTCAAACAACTTTGTGTTCTCCAATCGTTTTTTCTCCAAACATGTCCAAACCTGTGAAAGAACGCGGAACTTGGAAAAAAACATGGCTAGGTCCAGCTTGACGACCGCAGCGCTTCTAAAGGTTGGACAATGCTTTGCCAAGTGCTCCCATACGGTCCAAACGATGAAAGTCTCAGACACCGGCTTAGTAGGTTGGACCACCTTGAGGATGCTTAGTAGGTTTTTCCCCTTAATGATATGAACATCATCATCATTGTATTGAACATCATTTCGTTCCCTTCAGGGATCACGACGAAGTGGCATCTTCTCTTTGCACTTCAACATGGCTTCACGCATGACGTTGCAGAAGACCGCCGCTCTTTGATAAAAATCACGACAACGATCAGCACCTGGTCATATTTGCCCTGAAGCACTTGAGGTGCCACATAGTAAGGTGTTCCAGCCTGCAAGCAAACATGAGCAGACTCAGGGATTCTGTGAGCAGTCAGGTTGGATGTGATTTGGGTAGGCCAAAGCCACTCAAAACCCAGTCAACTCCTGAACAAACAGGTTTCCGGGTTTGTGTGGGTGTTTTGGCTTGAATGCAGAAAATGACACAACTCCCTACATGTCATGTTGGACAATACCTGATTAAGCTGCCTATCGACATGATGTCATGCTCAAAATACAATCTTAACAAACAATGACAAACCAGCATGCGTGAGGTACTCATTGCATGGCATTGCTTAGACATTTGTTGCCTTTCTCGGTCGCGTCGCCTTCGTCTGCCCACTTTTTGTAGCGCTTCTGTCTATGTATATATATACATTCACTTCTTTACATGAAGTCCGACTGGTACACATAGCGCCACACCAAACCATTGATTTGTTCTTCTTTGTTTCGGGCAGTGATTGGCTTCGGTACCCACCGCATGACATCAGCCCAAAGCTTGATCCACGAGGCCTGTAGTCACTTGGATTTGACGGTCACCGGCGGTAACCTGCAACCTTTGCATTGTAATTCCAGTCCCCAGAACGCACGCAAAACCTGTGCTTCAATTTTTGTCTCTTTGGCAACACCACCGACCAAAAAAGAGATTGATACACAGTCTGCGGCTTTGACTGCCTAGCATCAAGTGCGTTTGCAACTTTACATGCACATCATTATAGCATCAGCTGCGTTTGCAACTTCAAAGGAACGTCAACGCCGCCCCACCCCACCCGTGGCCAGCAAAGCATCGCAAAACTTCACCCGAGTGGCCCTGAAGGACACTTCAACAGTGCTGCAAATCCCACACGAAACTGTGCCCGACAGCGGGAAGTGCCACAGTTCCATAATTAAAGACCCAAAACCACACGAGTTCGTGAGCACATCTTCCTGACCGCTGACAATAGTTTACTCAAATTTTCCAAAACCTCACAGGTTCTTTTAAAGACATCTTAGTGTGCTCAACACGACGCGAATGCAACCATCTTGCCCCTTGAACTTCCCCTGCGCATCACGATCTGCGTGACGATAAGATGGTATGTCCGCAAACATGTGAGATGAGCCCTCGGGAAAAATTAGGATATTTCCGGAAACACAACATTACTTTGCAAAAGCACGCGACATGCATATAAACATTGACATGAGGCATGTCGTACTACTGTCTTGGGATATATTAGGTTGGTGTCTAAAATGTATTTTCCCAAAATGGTGCACTCTTCGCAATTCCATGGGGGCCCGCTTCTAAATCTCCTTTAAACTCCAACCACACTCAAAGCACAGGGATGTTAAACATGAAGGCGTGTCAACTGCAAAAACTGTGAGAGGTGTCTAGCACGGACCTTTTCAGGGGCTGTTGAGCTGCTGGAGCTGTTGTTGTTGCTGCTACTGCTGTTGCTAGACTTCTGCAGTTGCTTCCAATTTTTGGTCCTCAGAAATCTTCAGACCGACATAGGAAGGACGTAGAAGCTGACTCTTAAGATTTGGATGTTGGATGGGCAGATAATCAAGAAATGGACCGTCGTCCAGCGCGGTTCTAGCGCGGATCTAGCGCCAGCCTAGCGCAAAAATCTCCGTCGATTTCTTTATCCTGTCAGATTTATATGTTTCCTGCTTGCTCGTCTGCTTCTTGTTGTACATTATTCTTCTTCTTATTCTTCTTGTTTGTTTTTCCTGTTTCGTCTCTCTCCTGCTCTCTGCTTGTTTCTTCTTTTTCCTTCTTGTTTATCCTGTTATGAAGAAACCTAGCGCCAATCTAGCGCTGCCTTGCTGTATCACCATGCCATAGTCTGCTGGGGGCCTGCTTCTAAACGAAAACTTAAAAACACATCTCCAACCTTGAAAGTTTACGTTTATATATATATATATATGTATGTATATGAGTAGGGCTATGTAGGGCTTTTTGAGCTAATGTAATATTATGATGTGAATCACAATTATCCATGCTTTGTCCACGAGGGACAACAACACTCTTGAGATCCTCCACTTTCATCCTCACAAAAAGCTATTTCACGAGGCATCTTGGATTTCTGTGGTCAAGCCAACTACGCCATCTTTTCCCAACCCGTCACAGACACTCCCGGACATCTGGACCTCTTTCCCCACTCACGTGGCCTTGGTGGCCAAGACTTGACCCTCTGAGTATTTGCAGGACAGGCCGAAGTCAATGATTTTCAAGAAGTTCTTCTCGATCGGCTCCTGCCGGTGTGACCCTCGGCTCCGACGGCCGTCGGTTGTTCCCGGAAGGCGCCGGTGAGGTGCGGAGTGGGGGAAAGCATGGTGGAAGAGCTGTCTTTTCAACATAAAAAGAGACAACCTTGAGAGTTTGGTGGTGTTGGTGTTTTGCATAGTTGCCGCCATCCAATGCCAAATATCCTCTTCACACATGGATTCCCCTGTTCCATTTTATGTTTTCACTACAGAGGAAGTCGCTCAGTGATCCATGCCGCACAATCTGCATCGCGAGTCAGAAAGTGTCGCCCAAACCCAGAGTGTCCATTCCCTTCGTTCAGACTCAAGTCCTTTGTCTTGACGGAGGCCCTGAACTGAACCTTCCAAAGTCCGTGATTCGGCCATATTCGGTCTCCTCGCCCGCCCGCACCTTGCTGGTAAAGAGGAAGTTCTCGGGCTTCAAATCTCGATGTGTCACCTTTGGACAACGTCCAACATCGGATCGCTTCGAGCGACGTTCCTCCCGCAAAAAGTGGGTGGCATGGCCCTGGGAATCTCATGCTTTAGAGACCCAATAAGGGGATTCAAATTCCACTTCCAGCGAGTCAAAGATGTCAAAGTTCCACTGATTTGGGTGTGTCTATAGATGGAGACGCTGTCCGAGCTCCTCGAATCGTTTCATCTGAGCAAACGACATTGTTTTGATGCATGTAATAGACAGCGCGGATGATCTGCTGCATGAGAATGGCTGCAACCACCTGCACTCCCACTCTTTGAAGTGCCCAAGGACTCGAGCAAGCTAATAAATTACACCACCGTAGACCCCAAACAGTTTGTGTTTTTCAAAATCGAAACTAGAGCTTGCGACGTCCAGAGCTGGGAGACAAATGTAAAGGATTGCAAGGCAGAGACGGACACAGCAGTACAGAGCGGGCGGACACATCTTAAGAAAGAAGTGAGAAGCCCTAACAGTAAACCTTTTGGGGAATTATTCTTCAAGCGCGAACATGATGCTGGTCATGCTGCTCAGTCAGCAGGGAGCTGACCACGTGAGGACAAGAAACAAAAGCATGAGGAGCGAAGGATGTGACATGAAATTGATTTTTGGTGCCGAACGTATGCCCTCCGCCCCAACTGAACAGAGAGATCGCTGCCACGCGGCCGAAATCCAATCCGGTCATTCATCCAACGGTTGCCCGAAAAGGAAAACAAAGCTGAGAGAGTTACACAGTGTGGCAGGAATGCAATCTTGGAGACAGTCACGCACCCCTTGCAAAGGAGCAAGCACCTTTCACAGGCGAACCTGTTGCAGCGGACAGGGCAGAAAACAGCAGCGCAGGCACCAAACCTGAAAGACAAAAAGAAAGAAATCACATGGGAGACAAATGAATAGAACTGCTATATGGCCAGCGGAAAAGGGCGGCAGCACCAGTGAAAGACCCGGGAAACAAATGAATAGAAATGCTGCATGCCCAGCGGAAAAGGGCGGACACCAGCAGTGACAGACCTGGAAAACAAATGAATAGAAATGGTGCATCGCCAGCGGAAAAGGGCGGGCACCAACAGTGACAGACCTGGGAGACTAATGAATAGAAATGCTGCATGGCCGACGAAAAGGGCGGACACCAGCAGTGACAGACCTGGGAGACAAATGCACAGAAACAGCGGAAAAGGGCGGACACCACCAGTGACAAGCCTGGGGGACAAATGAATAGAAATGCTGCATGGCCAGCGGAAAAGGGCGGAAATTAGCAGTGACAGACATGGGAGACAAATGAATAGAAACAGCAGAAAGGGGCGGCAGCACCAGTGACAGACCCGGGAAACAAATGAACAGAAATGCTGCATGCCCAGCGGAAAAGGGCGGACACCACCAGTGACAGACCTGAAAGACAAATGAAGAGAAATGCTACATGGACGGACCTGGGAGACAAATGAATAAAAATGATTCATGGCCAATAGACAAGGACACACCAGTGACAGACCTGGGAGACAAAAGAATAGAAATGCTACATGGCCAGCGGCAAAGGGCGGACACCACCAGTGACAGGCCTGAAAGACAAATGAAGAGAAATGCTGCATGGCCAACGGACAAGGGCGGACACCAGCAGTGACAGACCTGGGAGATGAATAGAAATGCTGCATGGCTAGTGGAAAAGGGCGGACACTGGCAGTGACAGACCTGGGAGACAAATGAATAGAGAAATGCTACATGACCAGCGTCCAAGGGCGGACACCACCAGTGACAGACCTGGGAGATGAACAGAAATGCTACATGACCAAGCAGTGCAGGCTGGGAGACAAACGAATAGAAATGCTGCATGACCAGCAGAAAGGGGCGGACACCAGCAGTGACAGACCTGGGAGACAAATGAATGGAAATGCTACATGGCCAGGAGAAAGGGGCGGACACCAGCAGTGACAGATGTGGCAGACAAATGAATAGAAATGCTACATGGCCAGCAGAAAAGGGCGGACACCACCAGTGATAGACAGTGATAGGCCTGGGAGACAAATGAAGCTGCATGGCCAACAGAAAAGGGCGGACATTAGCAGTGACAGACCTGGGAAACAAATGAATAGAAATGTTGCATCCCCAGCGGAAAAGGG